CTCGGCTGGCAGCTTCCCCACGTGGGTGGGCGGGGGGTGGCGGGAGCTGCCCGTCGCCCTCTGTCAATGCAACCGGAGCCTCCACCCAGCATGTTCCTGGGGCTGAGCTGGGATGCCCACCGCTCCTCTCCGCCTGCTTGGCTTGACCGTGGCCTCCTGGCAGCGGAGGGATTGTAGCGTAATAAACGTGGCTGCTCCTGAGTGTCCCGGCTGGTGCCTCTCGCCTGGGTCTGGCGTGGGAGGGAGCTGCGCCCGGGGGAGCCGGTGCCCGTGAGCTCCCCGTTGGGGCGTTGGCGGAAGCTGTGCTGGTCCTGTCACAGGAGGGGTGGCAGGGACTCAGGCTGGCACCCAGGCCCCACTAGTGCAACCCTGGGGGGCGGAAGGGGCTGCCCACAGCAGCATGGCCTGGGCAGAGCGGGGATCACTTGCCTGCAGGTGCGGGCAGAGTTGGGCAAGGGGAGTGTTCCCAGCTGGGACCTTCTGTCCCTGCCCCTTGCCTGGCCGTGGGGAGATTCCTGGGGGAGGGATGGGACAAGTGTCCCTGCCTGGCAGCAGCAGGACAGGGGGAGGGGAAGTGTCACCAGTGCCCGCTGGCGAGGAGCAGCTCTTGGGCTGGCTGGCATCGGTGGGTGTTAGGAAGAGGTTTGAGACCAACATGGAGGAGGCTCTGGTGCCATCATGCAGCTTTCTGCTCTGGGGCCCCCTGCCTGGCTTTGGTCGCCTGGTCTGTGAAGAGCTGGTTGGGGAGAGATGCCAAGAGGCTTGGGGGTCTGTCTGGTGAGGAGCCAGCCAGAGGGATCTCAGTTGCTGTGTCTCACGACACTTGGGGAAGCAAGTGGGCAGAGCAGGAGAAAAAGTATTTTCTCCATGACCCCTGGAACTCCCTGCTGCAGGCTGTGGAGGCCAATAGTTTGGTACGTGTCAGAGCTGGGCTTTAGACATTGACAAGAGCACTGTGGTGTCAGCGGTGGGATCTGTGAGGCTCAGGCAAGAGGGGCAGGGAGTAGTTGGTGATTCCCCTCCCCACAGCCTTGGCTGGGGCTGCAGATGGCGAGGCTAGCC